TAAATAAAGTGTTAAATTTTGTATGAAATTTTAATTTAAACTTAAATTTTTAGCTTAAACAAACTTGATAAATTTACACGAAAATTTTAACGAATAAATTTATGTCATATAAATTTATCTGTTGTCAGTACAGAGTTGCATTCCAACTCAAGCAAATCATTCACAAAAATAAATACTTTTCGAACTTTTCGATAGCGACACAGCTGATCAAATAAGTTTGCAAAAATTTTTCACTAAGTGCGTTCCTATAGAAGTATAAGTAATCGCATAAAATTATATATTTAATAAATTTATGTGGTTAGGTGAATACCCCCATTGTAAATTATCGAACTAATATAAAGAAATAAGTTTTGCAGCTTTATCAGCAGAATATCTTTTTTTTTTGGAGGAATTTCCTGATATTTTATAAATTCCTAAATGATTTATATTAGAGAGTAGTCCTAAATAGTGCCTCAATATCGCAAGCAGATAATGTAACCTATCTTGAGATTCATATATATCGTTTTCAATTAACAAATCTGGATTTTGTCTGGATCTGCCTTTTTTGTTCTTATTTTGTGTCTAATCGAACATGTTCAGAATAATAGTACTATTATTTGTCATCTACTTATACAAGATACTGTCTTGTACTGACATAACAGTATGGCTTCTTTATTTATTTAATTTAATTTTATCTACTTTCGTTACGTTACGTTATTTTGATTTAGTTGATTTAGTTTTATATATAAAATGCCGCATATATTGTAATTGTCGAAAAATGTTGTTTCGAAAAGCAATGCTGTCCTAACATGTGATAGTCTTTCACATTCATATATATTATTTATTGACGTATTTGTTATTACACTCCAAAAAATTGCTTAAATTTCAACTTTTGTTTAAACTGATAACCGAATTTACTTATTTTTATTAGTAAATTACTAATTTTGATACTAATAATGATTACTAATTTTTTATACACAATATCCCAATTAACAAATTCTCAATTCTTTTATAAAAATAATTGTATATGTAAAAATGCACAAAAGAAAAACCAATTAATACTTTTAATTAAAATCAACGTTTCTTTTTTCTAAAGTTTAAATAAATATAATTTAACATATCTTTTAACATTGGGAAAACCCTCGTTTATTTTAATTTCATGCATTGCACTTTATAAAATAATTATTAAATTTATCGTGAGATAACGACGACATTATGTCGCCATTGGTGGTTTAGCTGCTTGCATGTGTTTCTGGTATTCATACCATTAGTTGAAACCAGCATGAGCTTAAGCGATCCAATATTGAAATGGCACCTACAAGAAGATGAGTACATCTCGTGATTAAACCACAAATTATTTTAATTTTCACTTACCGAAATAATTTAAAAACTGCGGGGTGTGAAAAATATATACATGCCATTCAATGGGTTAATCAGACGGAAGGACATCGCTGAATCAATATACTTTGTCGTGATATAATATACTTAATATACTAAAAATTTCTTAACAATTTTAATGAGTTCAACATAAATGCATTAAAACAATCATAATTTTAATTATGTTTTCATAGGAATTTTTTCTCAAAAGAAGCCATTACTACATATATACTATTAGGTATACTAAAAACGTGTTACATTACGTATCACTCCATCTGTCGTGCCTAACTAGCATTTATCTTAATTACATTTTTACTTTTAAATGTAATGCCATTCATTTAAAAAACCTATAATTTCCATAAATTTCTAATGTAAGCAGCGTGCTAAACTCATTTGACCGTTTTGTGACATGTCGCCTTTTGCCACCGACTAAACACTTGCATGTATCCTTGCACTCCTGGCGGAATATGAAAGACTAATTTTGTGCTTTTCAACGCCGCTTCCAGTTTTGTTTATTTCGTTTTCGTCCTCAAACCTAGCAATTTACGAACATTTTGTAAATGTATTTCACATTTAGACTTTTATGCGCTTTGTCCGCTCGACTCCACGTATGCAAATACGTAAATGGTCCGACAGTGCGTATGAGTAACTTTTTATGCGATAATTCCACGTAATTAGCTTGCAAGATGGCAGTTTCTAAAGGTGCTGACTTCTGTTCTGTGCATGTTGCATAAAGTATTTAATTTAATGTTCTGCATGGTTTTGCAGTGCACGTGGAATGCGACACTTGCGTTATTTAATATCAAATAAAAACTTTATTGCTTCATTTCACTGTTGATAGACGATTATGTGAGATTTTAAACTAATTTTCATGTAAATTGCTATAGTCCTTTGAGTCATTCTTAATTACTAATCCACTGCTGACATAATTTGCGTAATTAGTTATTTTTTTAATATTTTAAAAGTTAACTTATATTTTAAATTAATGTTAAAAGTTAGAAATCTTAAATATTTTTTCATATATATGCCACAATTAATAAAAAATTTGTAATTGATTTGAAAAAGTCAAATACTGTTCTCCGAAAACTTATACCTCAAGCTTTAAACATGAGGGTCCAGAATTTAATGTGGATACCTGCCGTGAGGGCTTACCACTACTAAGTTCTTTACACACGTATTGGTATATGCCGTCAATGAGCGCCCAATTGGAACTTCGAGGAATTCCGCCGGATCATTTGAATTTATGTGTTAAGGCATAGCTTCCTTTTTGGTGAGGAATGAGGCCTATCTAACACATTTGCTGATCTTTGGGTCATAATACCTGATTGGAAAATATATCTTCACATTGAATAATTGTAAATGAATACACTTATTCTACCCGTGTTAGCCTGGGTTTTAACCACAACCATCACGATACTCCCTTAATGGAGCCAACCTCAATAGTCAAAGGACCCTGGTCCTCGTGGTACCAGATTTTCATCTCCGGTCGGGCGTCCCACAATAAAACGTGTAAGGAAGAATAAAATATATGTAAAACTATCTGGAAAATAGTTTCAGCGTTGTATCAATAAGTTGATGACACCAGCCACACAATATATATTATGTTCACTTTGTTCCTTAAGAAATTTTTGGATAGAGTTATTTTTTATTTTGATAAAATTAATTGGCCACAAAAGTCTTTCTACTGTCACTAAAGTAAAAACTGATGCATGGGAATACTTTTATTTTGACAATCCTCAAATTTTTAACACTTTGAAATAGCGTGATGAACAATCACCAAATTATGGCCAAACTATTGCCAACTCTTTGCCATTAAGTCATTGAAAGTTGCTATAAAAGGATTCTTCAGCATGAGGTGGACATTAGAACTTGTTATAAGTTACAACTATTTTAAACACTCATAGGATATATTAAAAATAAAATTTTATAGATATCTCAATTGCAAATGTACCTTAAATACTAATACATTCAAAATCAGGAATGGGATAACCCCGCTTGAATACGCAATGTGATAGTCCGAATTGGTAATGGGTATTTGTACTGGTATAAACCTGTGTATCGAATATATAGTTCATATGAAATATTTTATTAAATTTCGTGAAATCATTATTGGAACTAACGTCACCATAAACCAATTTGTGGTAGTAAGTTTTAATACCGTGAGAGTTATTACTTATCCAGTCATATTCTATATTAAACCTCGTGGCGATAGTATCTGGCTAGAAGAGATTTTACTATTAGAATCTATATAGAATTCAGATTAATACTAACATATATCTACTTCCTTTTCTAAAAATGTCATCTCAATGTCAT